GTCTAGGTTCGGGTTGAATTTTATTGATATTGGAATGATTTATGTGTATTATTTGAGGTATATGAGTTGTGTTCAGGTCTAATAGTCACTCCAAAGTACTTAACTCGGTCAAGGAATCCACGAGTCACTTAGTCGATATAATTTCGGCTAAGTATATATGCCTTGTGTGTCGTTTTGATTTGGATAGTCAATTGATAGGCTATCATAATTGTTGTAGGTTCGTCGAGCGGAAACTTTTGCCATAATTCCTTCAACCCTATGTTTGACTATAGCTCGGTATCCAGGTGGGTTGTAATTGTAAAATTATCTATGCTTTAAATGTTATTACTGTTATTATTTTACTTGGTATGATCAAAGTATGCATGTGGAACATGTAGCGTTCGATGTGAGCTGTATCGGCCATCGAATGGTTATCCCCGTAACTATAGAACGACTCCGATGGGGTGATCTCCTCTTTACGTCCTTGCGAAGGACACGTCGCTTGAGACCAGGGCCGTGCTCGGTCAGCGATAAGTACCCCGATGTAAGTCCGATGGCGAGGCCGGGCCTTCGGGGGAGACTCCTACTGGCTGGACACTCGTTGTAAGACCAGAAGGCCGAGGGCCGTGGCTTTCGATATATAGTCGGCAGTAGCCTATTGATATGGGTGTGCACATGAGAACGAACTTGGGATAGGAGGTTGGGATAACTAATTATTTACGTATACACGCTGAGACCATACTTTTGATTATTGATCATTGTTTCATTATTATAAATAACATTTACTGCATAGTGGTGAGCACTACTGTTCCTCTTGTGCTCATCCCCACCTGCTCTTCATGGATGCAGGTTAGTATTGCGGGCACGGCGGAGGGATGCGAGTGGTGGTCTTATTATTGATATTGCTTCCGTTTTTGAAAACTGATATTGTTATTATTGTTTTTCTTGATTATTGAATGATGGAATATTGATAGGGAGTGTACTCCCTAGGATATATTGATTATTGGATTGCAGAATTGATTATTGAGATGTTATTATTGATAAATGAGGATTGATGATAGATTGAGTATTGATATTGTGGTTAAGTATTGGTGAATGTTTTGAAAAGGAGTAGCGCTTCAAAGTGTTTTGAAATAAATTTTGAAAAAAATTTATTCTGATTTTCGGCAAATAAAAGTGGGGCGTTACAACATCACTATCTTCTTCTTCAACGGGGAATTCTCCTTGATCCTACGTCCTCAACTTAATACGCTTCCCTGGTCGTCCAAACTCCATCTTTCCTCGCTTATAGTCAGTTGTAATTGGTCCAAGCGTTTCCAGCCACTGTACTCCGAGCACAATATCGGTTGCCTTAAGTGGTAAGGCATAAAGATCAATCTCCAGCTCGTGATCCTGTGCCATTATCGGGACTTTTATGAATAGTTGACTTCCTTGTAGCTCGTGTCCGTTGGCCACCTTGACACCAAACTTCTTGACTTTTTTGGATTCTAGCTTCAGCTTTTGGGCTATCCTTTCGTCGATGAAATTTAAGCTTGACCCACTGTCCACCAGAACTTCTAACAACATATCTTTTACCTCGGCCGTGAATCTGATAATCCTAGGCCCACGCTTGTTGCACTTTACCATGTGCAACCAAGTCTCTTCCTGCGG